GGAAGTCAACCACCACCAGCTTGTGTTGAGCGACCACACATTCTCCAGGTATCACCTTACAGTCCACACATGTTCGTTTATCCCTCCTTCTTATAAGGATAAAGTCGATTTGACTAGAGTACTGGCCGCTACTAAAGGTCACTAAATGGGACTGTCTCTTACGGAAGAAAGTGTTAGCTATCATCAGATCAAAAGCTATGGCAAAGTCTAAGACTTCATCTCCCTCCTGGTTCTAGCTACAAAAATTACAGTGAGCACCTAATAATATTAGAAATTTACTGTAAAAGTTTTAGAGCCAACACTATCACCAATTTATCACAAAAATTCCATCAAGTTTATATCTTAACAATATTAAGCATCTCAAATTAATTAGATCACTTCTAAAAATATTATAAAACTATGTGAATAAAATATAATAGCAGATAGATCATGATTTTAGGAACCTAAAAAATTAGTTTCATAATTTTCGGTTAACTACACAATTTTATATTGAATTTACAAAGTTACCTTAGAAACTAAATTAGAAAATACTTAGAAAAGGAAAAGGGTCGGTGGCCACCATTCGGCCTAGCAGCCCGGTGGCCCAGCGCGGAGTGCGGCCCACGCGCGAGACGGCCCACGGTGGGGAGCCCATGCTGGCACTTTAGCAAATGAGCCCTCGGACTTTTTTCGAACCACAACTAGGTCATAATACTATTTCTTCATTTTTCTCGCGAATTCACTTAACCCCTGGATTTTTCCAAATTTCGCCGCGCGGACCCCCGACCACCCTGTGCACGGTGGTGCGGCGAGTGACGGCACTGGGCGTCCATGCCGGCCACCAAGGGCCTGCGTAGACCCATTTAGCGGGTCGGTCGCCATCTATGGCTAAATGCGCTAAGATGGGTGGCGATTAGGGACTCGGAGGCACACTGTCGCGGGCTACAGCGGCGAGCGGCTCTCCGCGGCGGCGGCGCGACTGTTCCGGTGAGCCTACGCCTCACGGAAAGGTAGAGATGGCGGAGAAGCATCAGTAGCTCACCAGAATTCATGATGCTGCAGTGATGGTTGAGGCAAGGAAAAGCTGAGGTGGTCTAGCCACGTGCGCCCCGGCATGACGGCGATGCCCCAAGCCGGACACCGACGCGTCACCACGTCGCCGACGAGTTCCATGGCCAAAACAGTCCGAGCACCAAATAGAGGGAGTCAAGGTGAGTTCATGGTTACAACCAATTGAATTGTTACCACTCCTACGACCTTACCCCCAACCCTCTGGTCACGGCAACACACATGACCGGTGGTGAGGAGAAACCGAAATTGACCATTGACAGACCACGGCTGGGCTCGATGAGAATGTGACACCTAGCTAACTTGCTAAGCTACCCATCGGTGCGAGGAATTAGACTGGGAGGGCTTGAGTTGGTGATTATGAAGGGAGAGGAGAGCGGTGCACTGCCACCGCCACGTCGCAGGGAGTGGCCCCGGTGGAGGTGACCTGGCCAAGACCCGACAAGGCATGGCAGCACGAGGACACAACCTCACGAGCGAGGCAAGGGTCGCGTGGTTAATGCTCGGGTGAAGCCCTTAGGGGTGCTTGTGCGGCCATGTGTACAAGGCAGCGCGGCAGCGTGGCGTCACGATGCGGTAGACTACATACGACGTCGAGCTCGGGCTTGGTAGGTGGGTTGTGCGGCTGGGAATAAATGCTACAGCGGCCGGTGAGTCAGAGGGCGTGGGACAGCGCCATGAGCAGCGGCGCAGCTCGAGACAAGGAGGGCAGCGGGTGGGGCAGCCGCACGGTAGGGTGGCAACGGTGGCCGAGGGGCGAGTGCCGAAGCCATCAGCCAGCAGCAGGCGTCGCAGCCGATGGTGGCCAAGCCACCGCCATGCCACAGCCACGCCGAGGGTAGCCACCAACAACCTACCACGCACGTGCGCGGCCAGAGGTAGCCACGGCGCGCACCAAACGCGGTGACCACGCACTCCCGGCTGAACGGCCAGACACATGCGAAGCATGAATTTTAAAGCGTCAAAACCAACCGCTTAGAGCCCAGTTGAGATTAAAACAAGAGTTCAAGATTCTAGTAGCCACTAAGGGCTTCTCGTCTGAGCAACGAGCATGGCCGGAGAGTGAGCATCGAGGGAGATAGAGAGGTGTCAACAGGAGCTCGTCGCGCTAAATGCCAGTTCACGACCGAAGCCCGAAACAAGATCGACGGCGTGTTCTAACAAAGTTAGGGCAATTTCTGCGACGCCACGGCAACTCCAACTCATCCGTGGACTTCACCATGCTAAAGTACTCACTTAGAGGCAACTAACACTACAAAATCATGAAGCTAATGTTTAAGCATTTTAGTTAGAACTTAAACGCCAAAATAGCATTGTGCAACACTCTTTTCCGACTTAGAAAAGACAAGAGTTCAATTTGGACATAACATCCATAAACACTTGTTGCCACAATTTTTAAGAGGTCCATACCTTAGTAACTTCAACCAAAAATACTACATGTGATAGCCCATACTTCATACTAACCCATAGGAGCAAAATATTTAAGCACCATTTAACTATTTTGCTCGATATAATTCACCAAAAATGGTATTTTAAACAATAGTTCAAGTATTTGCCGACTTAACAAAAAGAGCTTATCTTAACTTCAATTTTGATTTTTGAGCTCCCAAGAACACTAGTTAACAACATTTATTTTCACAATTTAAAGTTGCATCTTCAACTACATCACTTGCTCGTCATCTTTACTTAAGTATTATACACAAGTTATATTTTTATTTTTGTTTATATAAATTGTTTTTCGTGTCAAACAATTAAAATGACTTATCCTATTTTTCTCGTTAGGATTTTCATTAGCACTTTACGCACCAAGTAAGTTAACTTGGATATTTGTTTGAGTCAACAAAAGTGAGTCGCATAGGATTCGCTTATCATTTCACGGGCGTTATAAATTTTAAAACCCGAAAACTTGTTTGGCTAATCCCTCTCGTACCTGAATCTCGGTGCTAAGCAAACTCGTAACACCAGGGGTGTTACACAGACGCCACATGGGGTTGGGCGAGGGCGTAGATGTTGCATGGGGTTGGGTGCGGCGCAGACGCCGCATCGGGCTAGCGCAGGGGAAGGAGTGTAGGCGTGGGCACAGGGTGCAGGAATGGACGTCTAGACACGCATGTCTATCCACACGTCTGGGTGCTAGCACTTAATAACAATTAAAATAGCAGCACACCGAACAAACCGTCACATGTGCCATATCTGTCCGAATTAATTTGCCATGGTCGCTTGAACTTACGAGGCGAATTTCTTCTCCGCCAAGTTCGTAACGTGTGTTGTGGCCCGCCCGATTGACCAAGATGCATAGCAAGTCTTACACTCCAAGAAACCTTAAACAAATGAGCACAAGATAACCATATCATCCAACAAGGTGACACCCCTATTTAACCTTACTCCAAGTACCGTACCACGCACATCTACGTCCAGACAAAGTCCACTTTCTCCGCATTGTATTGCCAGCAATGTTTCTTGGAGCTCTGTTCGCAGCTGTGGCCTCAGCACCACGCAGCCTCCTGATCTACTACGGTGTCCCTGGCCTTGTCCTGCTGTGGCAGGGCGGCCGGCTGCTGAACAAGCTATGGTGGGAGCCTCGGCGGCTGGAGCGGGCTCTGCGCGCGCAGGGCCTCCGGGGCACGTCCTACCGCTTCCTCACGGGCGACCTCAAGGAGTTCGGCCGCCTGAACTAGGAGGCCTGGGCCAGGCCGCTGCCGCTGGGGTGCCACGACAACATCGTGCCCCGCGTCACGCCGTTCCTCTGCAACAACGTCCGGGAGCACGGCAAGACGTGCTTCTCTTGGTTCGGGCCGATTCCCAACGTGACCATCACCGACCCTGCGCTGGTCAGGGACGTGCTCTCCAACAAGTTCGGCCACTTCGAGAAGCCCCAGTTCCCGGCCCTGACGAAGCTGCTCTCCGACGGACTCACCAGCCATGAGGGCGAGAAATGGGTTCAGCACAGGAGGATCCTGAACCCTGCATTCCATCTCGAGAAGCTCAAGGTACATAAAACTGTATCATTTGTAGTACAATTACGTACCTTCGATATAATATAAGTAATGGCTATGCAAAGATCTGGCTTGTGATTAATCGCTGGAGTGTGTATGTGACCTTGCATTGCAGCTCATGCTGCCTGCGTTCTCTGCATGCTGCGAAGAGCTTGTCAGCAGATGGGCGCAGCAGTCCCTTGGTTCCGACGGTTGGTGCGAGTTGGACGTCTGGCCGGAGCTCCAGGCCCTCACAGGAGATGTCATCTCCCGCACCGCATTTGGCAGCAGCTACCTTGAAGGTTGAAGGATTTTCGAGCTCCAGTCCGAGCATGCTGAGCGCTTCGTAGGCGCCGTTCAGAAGATTGCAATTCCAGGTTACATGTGAGTTGCCCTGCTTTGCTTGCTATGACTGCTCAGGCAAATTGTCTCTTCTTTAGGACAGCTGGTCGTCAGCGTTATCAGGGATCGGACTTGGGTATTGACTATTGATGACCGGACGCAGGTACTTGCCAACGAAAAACAACAGAAGGATGCGCCAAATCAACAAGGAGGTTAACTCGATTTTAGGAGGGCTGATTGGGAAAAGAATGCAAGCTATGAAAGAAGAAGGTGAAAGCAGCACCAGCGATGATCTCCTGGGCTCACTGCTGGAGTCCAATGCGATGAACACGGATGAGAACGGCGGCCAATCCACCCTTGGAATGACAATTGAAGATGTCATCGAGGAGTGCAAGCTGTTCTACTTTGCAGGGACGGAGACAACGTCAGTGTTGTTGACATGGACGATGGTCCTGTTGAGCATGCACCCTGAGTGGCAAGACCGTGCAAGGGAGGAAGTGACTGGCCTGTTCGGGAGAAACAAACCAGAATACGAGGGATTGAGCCGCCTCAAAACGGTAACTTGTTACTTCACTACTTCTTCTCACTAGGTTTCAAATATTTCAAATATAGTAATGTACGAGATTCTTCTTACAGGTCAATATGATCCTTTACGAGGTTCTCCGATTATACCCGCCGGCCGTGGTGTTCAGCCGGAAAACCTACAAGGAGATGAAGATCGGAGACGTGTCGTTCCCAGCCGGTGCGTTCATTGAGCTCCCTGTTCTATTCATGCACCATGACCCTGACACCTGGGGAAACGACGTGCACGATTTCAAGCCGGAGAGGTTCGCCGAGGGGATTTCCAAGGCGTCCAACGGCTCGGGTGCGTTCCTTCCATTCGGCTGGGGGCCTCGCATATGCATCGGCCAAAACTTCGCGCTTCTCGAGGCCAAGATGGCGCTGTGCATGATCCTTCAGCGATTTGAGTTTGGGCTCGCGCTGTCGTATACCCATGCGCTGTATACGGTGATGACACTGCATCCGATGCACGGTGCACAGATTAAGCTCAGGGCGATCTGCTGATCATACGACTATCGTATATATACTGGTTTACTAAACTATACGTGTTGGGTCTTGGAAATAAAATAACTTTGTATTGGTCTACCATGTACGTATCAAGTTATTAACCTTGATCACTGTGTAGGATGTTGGGCCATTCTCTAAGTTTCACATACTACGGCAACACAATCCTTTTTCAGTTTTCACAGGCGGTCCAAAAACGTTTTCAGAGGAGGGATGCGAGATTGTCCCTAGATGGTCTACCAATGAGATTACGAGACTTTGGCTGTGTTTAGTTCGCGAAATTAAAATTTTTAGATGTTACATTAGATGTTTTGGGATATCGGAAGAGTTTTTGGATACTAATAAAAAAACTAATTACATAGCTCATCTGGAAACTGCGGAACAAATTTATTAAGCCTAATTAATCCATCATTAACGCATGTTAGTACTGTAGCACTTATGGCTAATCATGGACTAATTAGTTTTAAAACATTCGTCTCGCGATTTCCAACCAAACTGTGTAATTAGTTTTTTTTCGTCTATATTTAATATTCCATTCATATACTGTAAGATTCGATGTGATAGTTTGGGATAAAAAATTTTAACAACTAAACCATGCCTTCGCATACACATGGTACTGACTACCTACTTAAAAAATAATTTTAAAATGGGATGCCGTCCTGCTCACCACGTGCGGCCTTGCTTTAGCCACAGCCCACAGACAATGAAGGTGCCCTTGAACCACGCACACCTCCACAATCGGCAGCCCGACTCGCCCAAGCGCCCAGACGAAGCTGTTATAAAATATGTTATCAGCGGTTAGAACATTTTTCTTTCCGTCTCTCATAATCAACATAGTAGAAAAAGTAGAAAATAAATAGACACAAGTTAAGAAAACTATTCTTTATTTCTCTGAATATTGGTAATTAAAATATAGAGCTCCCACGTATATATAGGTCATGTTCGCTTCTCTTATAATCTATCTTTTTCAGCTTATTTTTTCAGCCGGAACAGTGTTTTTCTCTCACAACAAATTAGCCGGAACAATGTTTCGACTTATTTTTTCAGCGAAGCGAACGAGGCCATAGTCCTGCCAATGCCTAAAAGTTTGATAAGAGCTCATATACAAACGGACTAGAATTAAGATTCCTCCTTCTCCTTTCCTTCTAAAATAAAGTCTGTATATTTTTACAACACTTCCTCTTACGCGATTACCACGATATGAACATGCCTCGTTAAAAACTCCATCCGAAAACATAGTGGAAAAACGGTTCTTGAAAAAAAGAGTACATCGCATTCGTTAATTGCATTGCACATGTTGTCTCATTAAAAACCTTATGAGAAACCTTCAAGTAAAAACTCACATAGGAAAAAAAAAGAGTACAATATTTAACCTTCTTGGTCATGTATTCTTCAAGTTATTTTATTCTTTATGAATAGATATTGATCTTCATGATCTATGCATAAACTTTAATGTTTTGACAAATATGATCCACTTGATATTTGTAATTTTAGCGGTTTACCTTAAAGGTAGATTTAATCAAATATGCTCCCCTCGTAAAGCTATAATTTGAACTTCATTGTTTAAATCTCACTTTTCATAATTGTGTGATTAACTAATGGTATGTGATACCATAATACTATATCTTTCAAAAGATGGCTCCCAATTCTTCTATGAATTATAATATGAGTATAAACCGGAGCAATATGCTTTATGCATAATAACCACTTATTAGTTGTGCAAAATAAATAAAATTTATCCTTCAGGGTAATAAATTCTTTCAGAGAATTATGGGGTAAATAGTTTACAATATTTAATATATTCTAGATAGTGTATCAAACTTATACTAAAGTTTGAATACTTATAATTCTTTCTTAGTGGATTTTCAAATTATATGTTCTACAAATCTTCGAGATTTTGATTGTACCACTAAATAATAAATCCAGTCTTGCATTTGGCATTTTGGAAATAACTCAATTGCTAAAGTCACCATTATTCTTATACCTTCTATGGTATTTAGAGGATATAAGCACTTCATTGCTAGATTTACAATATACACTTTCTGAGTGTTTGTATGGCACCTTCATGGTGTTTATTATGATTCCTCATTGCTTTCTCTCGGGTCTATATTCACTTTAGGGATCAATGGTGTTTATTCAAGAATCGACTAGTAAATCCTTCATGGATTAACTCCTTCAAAGATATTCTTATTTTTGGTGAATAACATTTCTCTTCTATGAGATATATTCTCTACTTCATGAGAGATTGTTATGTGATATACACAATGAGATAGTATTATTCGCTACAAAGTCATTTGATGACTCTTCCTTCTAGGACATGATCTTCTTGAGACTTAAATATTCATATAGGAATATATTCTACCTTAGACTTCTTAATACTTATTATGAGATTTAATTTCTATATGCTATGATTTCTATTCTTCAAGAATTATGATTTTCAGAATTCGCTTATTAACTGCATATTTTATATTTAATCATTTCATTTGCCAGAGATATAGCAGAACATTTATTTCTTCTTAGTAGGAGATTTAACCTCAATTGCTTTCTTCATTGATCCGATATAATCGCTATAGGCGACTTTGTCATGGACTTTGTTTTCTGGATCCGAGTTCTCATAAGAGAAACATTTGCAATTATAGAGGTAGCGTTGTCGACAACTATTATTTTCTCCCAACATTCTCACAATATGAGATTATTCTATCTCTTTGTTATTTCCCAAACAAGAGATAATTTATTGTTCTACGTACCCAACACTATGATGTGCGCGCTTAGTATGTTGGATTTCATCTTCATGATGATCCTCTTCATGAGGTGTTCTCTTCGTGAGAATTGATGAGTTTGTTCTTATGTTATTTAACAAGTATACAATAAACTAGAATCCACAGGCGTCCCCGTGGATTTTAGCTTGATAGTATATAACATTTAGTTACTACTAGTAAACACAACTTCTGGTTTTTTATAACTTCAAGTTACTATTTATACCAAAATTTGGAAAGAAGAATTGCAGGAACTCGAAGCTCCCAAGATCGTGTCATCAAGGAATCGATTGCATAAAGACGATATCAGCTGATTCAAATGCAGCGCTGGAATCGGCTCTCTTCAGATAACGACAAAAGCTACGGTCGGCGCCAGGAGAAATATATCAGACTCTACAAAAAGGAAAAGATTAGAGTCCAAGTTATCATAAATTAGGAATGTTTTATTCTATACAAAGATTGTAATGAGTCGTACTTAAGTAGGATTTATGTTTAGACTCCGGGTATACATATTGGACCCCGGCTATTGTTAAAAGACATCCAATCAATCAAACACAAGTTATTTACTTTTTTGGCTCTGGCCAACCCTTAGGAGTAGGAGTAGAGTAGATCTCGGTGAGTTCTTCAGCAAGTAGGGCTGCATCGGTCCGACCGATCTTTGGCTTGTCTGTAAGTACCGTCATGGCTTATACTTTGGTTTGTACGGCTGCATCGATCCGGTCGACCTCCACTGTGAACTTTAGTATAAGCTAGTAATCGACTTGTGGTAGAACCACATAATCTAATGCCTCCCAGGGGTACTTGTCTTCCACTAGACACTAAGCACTCAAGGGAGAACACAAAATTACATAGTTTCGTCGGGCACATCCTAAGGGAGAACCCAAAAATCCACATTTTTCCATCAGGATCACAAATGAGAGAATAAAGCTTACATCATTATTAATCATTTCTTATATCACTTTTAATACAACATTAGAGTATAGTATTTATTGATTTTAATAGCGCAGTATGATCATGTTATCAGAGTTTTTAACAATTTAATTTAATATCGGAATATAAACATGTGAACAGAGTTACAGCGAAAATAAACATCTATTCATGTCATGATGAAGCATTGATATATAAACTATGACATCAGATTCTAAAACTTCCATTCATAAAACATTTAGTGAGAGTTATAAATAAAAACTATGATCACGGCGTAAAGGAATCCTCTCTGAGCCCATCAAGAGAAATCCACACACAAGAGTCAGCTCTAGCATCCACCTGTCACCTGCCACAGGGGGAAATAAAACCCTGAGCACTCAATTGTACTCAGCAAGACTTATCCGACAGGATGAAAGAAAAGGACTCCAAGGATATGCAAGGCTATCTGGTTGGTGGGTTTATTTCATCTACAGGAAGCATTACTAAGCGTGCGTCCATATATTCGATTTTTATTAGTAGTCGCATTAGTTCATTAACTAACCATTCTATGTAAGCACCTGTGCTACTTTCAAGCAGGTGGTAAGCAATCAGAATCATTTTAGTATCTTTCATCTTCTAGTTCTTACTATGTTGTTAGACTGTAGACAAGCCATACCAGATCGCCCGGCGATTCATGAATCGATGTGCCCCGCTTGTACCCCAAAACATACGCCCCACTTGTACCCCAAGCACAAGTAGGACCAACCCACTACCCTCCTGTCACAGGGCCCAGGTCCCCGTCCAAACTAGGACTCCAAGTCCCCGCCCCTGAGTCCCAGACTTAGTGCGGCGCAAGGACCTCCACCCAAAAACCACCCTGACAGGCGGTCCAAAAAGAGCCAGAACCCATGACAAGAGAGTAGCAAGTCTTCCATGCGCCCATATCAAGTATGTGCTCAGGATAATAAGTTTGTGACCTACCGAGAACCCAATGCAATGGTCGGTCCTTAACTGACACAGACAGGGAAAATAGTGTAACCAAGCTATGTCCCGTTGGCCGTAGGACACAACCTCTTACACCCACCAATACCCAAACCATATCCCTGCTCGGTCTCCACTTTTCCTTTCAGCATTTATATATTCCAAGTGATAATAATACATTAATATATTTCATATCTATCGCGAGTGACAGGCAATCACTCGACTTCTACCGGAGTCCTGTAGCATAGCAATCTACACGATCCTGTCATACTAGTAAGACTCATAGGATAAAGATATATATATGCAAGTGGGTTTCATTCAACTCCTTAAAACTTATGCACAATATAATTTAAAGTG